GAGATAAAGATACTTCCGTTTAGCTTTGAAATACCCTTTTTCCTATGATTAATTTCAATATATGACCAAATTTAATGTTACTAGAAGTCTTGGTCTGATCTCCTAGTGTTTTCACCAATTCATGAACTACTAGGAAATGGTCTCTCACAAGTTGAACACTTAATTGATTATAAAGATTTTGATCTATGAATGATAAATCTAAGGATTAATTATCTATGATCAAGACAAATAACCAAAGGATATATTATGGTCAAATAATGCTCTCTAGCATAGTGAAAGTAACTAACTTTATCACCTAATCTAGGATTTGGTCAATCACCGGCTCTATCAATTAAATGGTCATAAACAACTAGGTAACAAGTTCATGTAATCAAATTGGTCGTCTAAATACACAAAACTTGAAGGCTAAGCAATAAATATTGAAACTTTAGCATGATAGGTAGTGAATTATCAAACACAAACTAAACCAACTTCAATAATCCATAAAAAAAATAGAAATCAACTTGTAGTATTAGGGTTCATATAATTGAAACGAAAGTAACAAGGTATTAGCTCATGACTATACAAATAAAACACATATTCAACTAGTAAACTAGGCTAAACATGATTAAATCTAGGCAAACCGAATGATTAATGTTTAATTATTGCTACAATCTCTCTAACACTTGATCTCTAATCGTATTATGCCCTCCAAGGGTTCTTAGAAGCGTTATTGTCGCCTTATAATTGTAGCTCTACAGAAAGATCTCTAATTCTGACCTAAAATTCATGATTTATAGTTTCCTTAATTCAGCTTCCCCGTCGTGGCAAGTGGGTCGCCAAGCCGTGGAAGCTTGTTATGTTCCAACCTCTAACTAATTTTTATTGTCTTTTAATTACAAAGGTTTGGACTAAAATACGCAATTGATATAACTTCATTCAAAGGTTATTGTTCATGTTCAGAGCTTCAATACGGTTCGTTTTCGACATTTGCTTTGACTCATTCAGCGACTGTTGCCAACAAGCGAAGGTGTAGATAAGGATTGATGGAGGTAATAGAGAATGTGTAGAGAATGCTTGAGTGATGAAATAGCGAATGGGTACCGACTATCTCACTAAGAAGTATTTGTTATCATTGGCGAAGGAGTAGCGAATGTCTACTTATGTTTTTCACTGAGTAGGGAAGATCTAATCACAGATCCTTTGCAGCACTATTCGCTATCAATATCGAAGGACTAACGAAGGTAATATTTTTTATTGTTGTTTTAAAAAAAAATCAAAAACACAAAAATATTTTCTTTATTTTTGTCTTTTATTACTAAAATTCAAAATTCCTAAAAGATTTTCTTTATTATTGTCTTTCGTTTCTAAAAATCAAAAATCCCAAAAGATTTTCGTTATTCCTGTTGTTAATTTCACAAAATGAAAAACACATTTTTTTATTTGTCTTTTATTTCAAAAATTCAAAATTTAAAAATATTTTTTTTATTTTTGTTTTCGTTATCATGATTGAGATGTTCATTATAACACATGTTGTTAATAAGCATGCACAAGTGAAGCTCAACAGGGATCAAGTAACATACATAACTCATAACTTGTTAAGTGTCCGTAGAAACATGCTGCAATATGTTGTCCAAAGCCTTATTGACTTATTGTTTACGAAGCCTTAATGAAAATTTTCTTCTAAATTTTTTTTCCCAATAGGTTGTATTAACAATAGTCCTCGAGCTACCTTTCTCTTCTCATTTTTGAGTTAAGAGATGACTACATGGTCAAAAATTTTTGCAGAGGTACAAAGGATTTTCGTAACCAATCTTTTTCACCCTAAAGTTATTACACTTGCACACACAAAGAGGCATATCCCAAGACATCTATAGTCAAAAACAACTAGGATTTAGGTGTGCCAAAACTTTGTGTTTATGATCCTAAATCATTTTTCCATGATGAGGATGAGACCCAACAAATGTTATTGAAGGTTTGTATAGATCGGATACATTTCAAGTATAATAAACAAAAACAAACTAACTAATCAAAATAAAGAACATAAAAGTAAAGAACACGAAGAATTCACCAAATTGTCTTTCACCAAGAAAGGGTTTGTCTTCACCAAAAAGACGGTCACCAAGACGATTAAGGATACCAAGCCGTTCACCATTAGGGTTTCACCCTAGTGTTGTATATATATTAAACTAATCTAGTGGATGCCTTCATTTAAGGGATTGTATCTAATCTATATATAAACAGATCCTTATCACCAAGATATCAAATTTCTTATATATTCTATATTTACAGAGTATACCTACCTAATATACAAAGATATCTTCCTAATAATGATCACCATGATTATGGACTTCACGCTGACGCTGATCATTCTGGAGATGACGCTGGCATTGGTGCTGACGATGGCGCTGGCACTGGTGGTCAACATGTAATTGTGTTTGACTCATTAAATCATAAGGTGTGACCTTACAATCCCCCCCCTATCTGATGATCTCAAAACTAATCTTCAATAAATTCTTCAGCTTGTGCTCCCCTTGAGAGTAAGAACTTTTCTTCCCTTCCCCATTTTGGTTATCAGCTGTAGAGGCAGTAAGAACGGCGGAAACAATCAACATATCATGTATCATGAGGTGCAATGGAATGATAGATGACAATGAGATGATAGAATGTTGACATCAACCCCCCCCCTAAGATTTAGCTCCCTTCAGACAAACAACATCTGAGGTCTGCTCCCCCTTAGATAAATAATCTTTTTCTTTCAGGAGTGTCTGTTATTCAATGTATGATCAAGTGACAACATAGCAGAACTAAGATTTTCTCCCCCTTTTTGACAGCATCAATAGGTACTGCCTTATTTTTTATTTTTTTTATTTTTTTATTTTTTTTTATTTAAGAAGACATCAAGTAACCTGAAATAAAAAGAAAACATCAAATAAAGTTAGAGGATAAGATAGGTGTATCACACTATTATGTTGTTGCAATACTAGATCATTTACACAGAATTGCGAAGTCTCATCAGTGTATGGTTTTAAACGTTGAATCATTAACTTCTTTTATTAGAAGAATAAAGGGCGAGAGTTGGTAGGTGTGTGTAATACATCACGATACCAGATATTCCCTTCGGCACAGATTTGTCAAGCTCTCATCAGCTTATGGTATATTACGCTGAATCATAAAGCTTTAAAGAAGAATATATGGGCAAGAACGGGTTGGTGCATGTGATTGCCTACGGTACGTAGACTAACCATCAGCATAGAGTTTCAAACTTTTATTAGTGTGTGGTATATCACAGTGAATCGTTAAGTTCTTATAAAGAAGATTTGTGGGAAAGAAGTAGGATGTCTCAATCACACTGAGGTGAAATTTGCATGAATCATTGACAGTGATAACCCATCAGCAAGAAGTGGTTCAATCCTTACATCATAGAGTTACTTGCAGTCTAGAATCAAAGATTCACCATCAATTCATAATGGTAACTCAGACTAGGAGGTCAGGGACATGAATAACCCTTTTTAATTTAAGGACCAGACAAGTATCTCTTACGCTAATGACTGTGCAATCAGTGTAAGGCATTGGGTTATGTTTAATGTTTCAGCAGAACATGAGACTTGGTGCATAAGACAAGCATGCTTTTAGGGACAAGGTCAGGTAAGAGATGATTAACCAAGAAAATAAACACCCAAATCCTTTCTATAATTTTCTGATTTGAACCAGAAAATCTCACTTTAAAGGTTTAGACAATGCTAGACAATTAGCGTGAGTGTGTGACTCAATGTCATCTCAACAAATGGCCTCGCTGATGAGATACTTAGAGAGATTTAGGCACATACAACAGCATGCTTCTAGGGACAATGATTTATCAAAAGTTACATACTTGGCTTATGAAATGTCACTGCCAAATCATGATATATACAATGATATTATCACTAGAGACCAAACCAAAATGAAGCATAGGTCTCAGTTTCAAAAACCATTTTTACCTGCTTGTTAATTTGAGCTTATTTCCCTTTGTAAACCTTGATTGCTCCCCCTACACTTGTGGTTCAATTGTTTGCGACACCTTGTAAACACAGTGTATATTATGATATTTCTCGACAATTCCACTAAAGTGATGCAATGAATTTACAAATCATGAACTAAATACGTATTGACACATTAGGTAGAACGTCACCAAGACCCACTTGAAACTGTCTAAATACATCACATAATCAAGCATCCATGTTATCTCTCAATAAAAATATAATTTTTATAAGCTTTAGGGGGTAAATAAATTCTAATGTTCATAGATAATTTGAACAACAGACACAACGTTAATGGGTTGAATAAGGAACGATATTCTTATGAAACAATCAAAAGAAATCCCATTCATTCCGGTAGGGTTCACAATCATGTAAGCACTAATACTCAATCCTTTTATGTAACGAATTTCCAAAAAACAATTTTACATTATGATTTATGGCGTGGTTGTGGCCGATTGGAAAAATGGTTTGCGTTTATTAGATATTCGGGTATTAGTAATGTCGATTTTATGATCAAGAAGCTTTGTGACGTTTGGTTTAGGTATCATAAACTTTTTACATCAATGCCCTGCGTTGACAAAAAGGATCTTCATCATCATAATATCCCATCTAAGATCGAAAAACATGAAACTCCCATGTTATCTTATGCTAGTGTGGTTAGACATGGTTAGAGGTCAAGAGAAGGGGAACAATGAATCACTTGAGGTTGCTATTGTACATAATTCAGGAGACTTCATTATTGAAAACAGAAAATTGGCTTGTCTTGCCAAGGCTAGAGATTTCCCTACACTACCTAATCTTGGGATGCTATGTGATGATGAAGGATTTGATGACTTTCAAATACAGTGTGTAGGTGGACTTTAAGTGATGTTTTAATTCAATAAAAAAGACGCATGTAGGAAATTCATAATTTGTATAATTTATTTTAGACGATCCCGTGCAGGCCGACATCCACCGCTTCTAAAACGTGGGATGTTTCACAGTTTTGACACTTACAGCTTGAAACATTAAAAGCCAGAGCAACTACAGACGTTATTGTCATCTCACTGTTCTTTTCTTTGACCTTTTCGCTTGATTATTTCAGGTAAAATCCATCCAGAATACGGACATATTCTTGGATATATTATCTCCATTTGGCACTCCACCCTAATCAAGATTCATTCAACTCCTCTCCATTGTTGTGCCTATATATACATACACCCGATCAATCACTAACACCATCGATTATCACTCTCATCGGTACATTAATACTACAAATCTCACACTAATATGGACCTGGATTACGTTCATCATCATCGGTCAAACATGGAGTCGCCGGAGGCTGAGGATGATGTGTTCTACGCAGAGCTCACAAGGCAGATATTGGTGCTTATGGACGAAGACGATGAAACACATGCATGGAGAAATAGAAAGGGTGAGTCGCCGGAGTTTCAGGGGAGATCGGTGATGACGTCCGGGAACTACTTTAGTTGGTGGGAGGATGGGAGGAATTTTGAGGTGCCCTGTTGGATGGAGAGGTTGTGGGCAAGTAACGGTGCTGGGACAGGGGTGTTTATACCTCGAGTGGTGGTCGCCGGAAAGACCAGAAGAAGACGTCAGAATAAAGCACGGAGGAACGACGGAGGAAGAATGCATTCTTGTGCCGGACGTAAGACTCATGGTTGATTGTTTGTAGGAATACGAATATGAATTCGTAAGGTTAAAATGATGATTCGTTTTCTGCATAAAGATGTGATGACGCATGAGTCTCATGGTCGAAACAAGTAGAGATTTCAGATTCGTACCAATTCTTATAATTTATTGTACAATTGATTGTTAGAAGAATGGAATGTTTCATTTATAATTTGCTTACCACAAATCAAATACTTCTTTCCTTTACAAAAAAAACAATAATAAAATAAAATAATAGTGCATACTTTATTTTGGGCTCTTCTAGGAAAAGGCTTAACATGTTTTTTAACAAACTTAAATCTTTAATGAGCCTATTCGAGCAACCGATCTAAACTCATCAGTAACAGGTTTAAAAAGATTTTGTGTGAAGACAGGGCTGCCATTTACTGTCTTTTACTTTTACTGAGGTGGAGATCAAGGAGGCGGTTTGGTGTTGTGGGAGTGAGAAGGTGCCAAGTCCGGACGGATTTACTTTTAAGTTCTCGGAAACATTATTGGGAGTTGATAAATTTTGATGTTGTTATGTTTGTGAAAGACTTTGAGAGCTCTGCGGTATTGTCTAAAGGATGTAATTCTTCCTTTATCTCTCTCATTCCCAAGGTTAGAGGTCTTCTTTATTTAAAAGACTATAGAGCCATTAACCTTGTGGGTTGCTTATATAAGGTGTTATCGAAAGTGTTTGCTAATCGTTTGAAGAAGGTGTTGGACAATATCATTTGTCATGAGCAAACGTCTTATGTTGGTGGAAAAGCATCCAAGACGGTCCCATTTTACTTAATCAAATTGTTGCTTGGACCAAAAAAGTGAAGAAAAAAGCTTTTGTTTTAAGTCGATTTTGATAACGCGTTTGACTCGTTATGTTGGGAGTTCTTGGACTCGATTATGGACCAAATGAATTTTGGGTGGAAGTGGAGAAGATAGATTAGGAGTTGTCTTTCCTCTATTAGAGCTTTTGTGTTGGTCAATGGCTCGACGACGAAAGAATTTGATATTTGACGAGGTGTAAGGCAAGGAGATCCACTGTCTCCTTTTCTCTTTATTATAACTATGGAGGGTCTTCATGTCTCCATGGAGGCGGCTATCGATCTTCACTATTTTCACGAGCTTTCTCTCCCAAACAATAACATCTCTATTTCACATCTTATGTACACTGACGACTTGACATTCATTGGTGATTGGTCAGAGATTAACTTTGTTAATCTGAATAGACTTCTTTGTTTTTTTTATTGCGTCGCGGTTGAAAGTGAATTGACACAAGAGTAAAATATATGGAGTTGGTGTCGATGCTGAGGAGGTGAATAGATTCGCCATCATTTTAAAGTGTGAGTCTGCTTCTTTTCCGTTCACATATCTTGGTATTCTGGTGGAAGCTAATATGAAATTTGCTAAGAATTGGATCTTGGTTGTTGACAAGTTTAAGAACAAATTATCCAAATGGAAATTGAAGACTCTTTCGTTCGGAGGGCGCCTAACTCTAGTGAATTTTGTGTTCAATAGCTTGTCTCTCTATTATTTTTCTCTTTTTAAAGCACCTAAAATGGTTATTAGCTTGCTTGATTCCATTAGAAGGCGATTCTTATGGGGTGGTGATGAAAACATTAGGAAAATAAACCGGGTTGCTTGGGACGTGGTGATCAAACCAAAAAAAATATGATGGGCTTGGAGTTGGTTATCTTTGACGAAGCTATAGTGGCTCTCCTCGCCAAATGGTGGTGGCGGCTTAAAAATAGGTCTGATTCCTTTTGGTTTTCTTACATAAAATTGATTCATAATATTAAGTTGATGGATGGGAGACCTCTAGCTAAAAGCTCTATTAAAGGTGTGGCTTAGCATCTCTCAAATTAGTAATGAATTATTGGATAAAGGGGTTGTGTTGGCTGATTTCTTCAAGAGAGGTTGGTTGGCATTGGGGATAAAACATATTTTTGGAAAGATTGTTGGTGTGGTGACATCGCTTTGAAATATTTATGTCAGAATCTATATGGTGTTTAGTCAAACAAGGATTGTCCTGTTATGGGATATGGATAGAGTTAATGTGGAAGCTATTAACGATTTGAAGTGGAATTGGAGTTGGTATCGCCATATCAGGAAGAGAAGTCGATCAACTCTCGTTCCTAAGCAACATTTTAAATAACTTTCAGTTTGTTGGTGATTGTGACAGGCTTTAGAAAGGTGATGGCAACACTTCTTTCTCGGTTAGAGATTTCAGACTCCTCGTCGGTGCCTCCATTGATATAATTAATGTGCCTTTGTTCAAATAGGTGAAGTGGATCCCATTAAATGTTAATTGATTTGTGTGGAGACTGATAAGGAATCGTATCCCTCTTACCCCTAATTTATTGAGTCGTGGGGTTTATGTGGCTTCAACTTTGTGCCCCTTCTGTCATATTGATGAGGATCGTTTGAATCATGTGTTTTTCTCATGTCGTGTTGCCTCGAGACTATGGAAATGACCGGTGGAATAGTCTGCATTCTTGATAAGCATCCTTCTTCCTATTTGGAGTTATTGGAGATGCTAAATTCGAGTGTTTGGTGTAAAAAAGGCGTAAACTGCAGCTTTCTCTTGTATACACGACTGTTTGGAATGAGAAATGCTATTATCTACATATCTTAACAACAAGTTTTCATGTTTTTGGCGGATAATATTAGTATTAATACATTTAACTGGATTAAAAATAGGTCCAATTTTTCTAAGTTTGATTGGTTTTTATGTCTCATTTATCAAACTTTTGTTTTAATGTGGCTTGAGTTTCTCGCTTATTGCTCTTTTTTATTTTTTCTAATAGTGTTTGCTTTCCGTTAAAAAAAATGAGATGACAGTTCCTAAAGTTTTCGTTTTATAAGAGGTGAGCGCGGTGCGGTTCGGTGCAGTTATTGGCCAAAACCTCACCACTAACCGCAAATACGGTTAATACATTTTCAAAATCGTTTGGCGCAGTTATTTTTGTGGTGCGGTTAGACGGTTATTTTTGCGGTGCAGTTTTGTTTTTTTTTTTTGTGTTTCGGTTATTAACCGCATGGATTTGGTGAGGTTATTTTGTGTGGTTTTTTACCCGCAGTTTAAAGTTCAAAAAGTTTTAAGAGTTTAAACATATTACTTGTAATAATAAAAGACCATAATGTATAAGATAATTAACTTAAATTACAAACAATTAATATCTTAAAAACGTCAAATCACTAGTAAGTAACAATAAATATCTTAAAACTGTCAAATTTCACCATTTTCCAAAATTAAACATAAGCAAAAACCAACACTTTTGTTTTCTAGAATTTTATCATTTTTTCATTCATGAAACTTGTCTTATTTTTAATATTTAATACATTAATAATTAATAAAAAATTGTATATAATATATACGGTGCGGTGCGGTTTTTGAAAACTAATAACCGCACCGCACCACAAATTTGCGGATTTTAAAAAACAGAAAACCTCACTATCGGTTTTTATTGCGGTTGCGGTTTTTGTCATTTTTGTCGTTAATTTTAGTTGCGGTGTGGTTTTTTGCTCACCCTAAGAGTAGTTTATGTTGATTATCAGTCAAATGTTCTTTACTTATACGTTAAACCAAAAAAAAGTTATATGTTTGTGATGATCATTTGATATGGAGTTCGACGCATGTTTGAATTTTCTTCAAAATTAGCATGGTATACCATTCAAAAAAATAGTTACATATCAAACCAATATAGTTATAAATTTCACATTCTATGCTATGGTCTCGTAAACGATAAAACCATGACTTTATTTTTTGAAAAAAAAAATAGACAAAAAAAAAAAGTTAAAATCTCCAAGTATAAAGAGGACAAAAACAACCCAGCAATTGCTTACATATTCGATATTTGAGCAGATAATCTTGAATTTTAGTCGATAATATTAAAAAAAATCTCTATATTTTTAGCTAATCAATGATATAAATTGGTGACATTTGTAATAGAAAATCACAAAGAGTATTATCTAAGTGTATTCGTTCTAACCGTTGTGTAACTATATTAGTTATGTTTAACATTATTTATGTTTAACATAGAGTATATTTTTACCGTATAATTTAAACCTTGATAAAGAAATGACAAAAGAATAATTATTTTCATATAGAGGATTTCCTCGGTTGCTCATATAAAAAAAGTATGATAAAATTATAATAAGATAATATCATCCATCAAACAAATATATTAATATAGTAACGTTATAATAAAATAATATTTCATGAGACTTTAATATTACTATATATATTAGGAAAAACCTAAAACAATATTGTATAAATATGTGTAAAAGCATAATCAATCTCCAAAGCCACTCCTAAAATAAATTTGGCATATCCTATAAGAAACACCACCACCTAAAACCAAAAAAACAAGATAAAAGAAAAAAAGAAAACATTGTGAATGAAACAAGGCAATTAACTAAGCTAGCCTAGTGGTCTGACTTCATACTATAAGGTAACTGTATCCAAACATGCAAAAATACATACTAAAGTATACAATTTAGTGAGACGAACTCACCTGGACAATTTCTCAAAGGTTTAACCGTTAACCAGACAATTCAACTGGCGAGCAACACACCAACGGAGATTTACCTATAATATTATAGTTTATTAGTTTCTATGGGAATCTGTTAATGAAAAGCTAGATCTTTCACTAACGCCAATGAATATTAAGAGTTGGGAGGCAGGACCATTTCAGCGTGTAGCCTTTTAAGCCATCATGACCATTCTAGACATCTCTCTTGTAAGCAGATCAATCAGTATTATAACTGGAATTATTAATAAATCTTATTTAAATATTGATAATAACGACTATAACTATAAATATAAGTTACACTTAAAGCCTAGTAAACGTAGCTTAACTTACAGAGAGTTTTTAATGAAAACTGGAATTTATGCAAACGAAACTTCAATACCAAGCACTTCTATTCGTCGGTCCCTCATATGCCACGGTATCACATTAATTAGATTCTTCAGAACCCCGAAAATATCTTAGAAGTTCGGATTTAGAGAGAGA